TGAGGGGAGGGGCCTAATGGTGTCCAGGTGAAAGGACAGGGTCTGATAATGTCCAGGTGAGAGGACAGGGTCTGATAATGTCCAGGTGAGAGGACAGGGTCTGATAATCTCCGGGTGAGAGGACAGGGTCTGATAATCTCCGGGTGAGAGGACAGGGTCTGATAATGTCCAGGTGAGGGGAGGGGCCTAATGGTGTCCAGGTGAGGGGAGGGGGCTGATGGTTTAGAAATAGGGGACAGGGGTCCAAGCAGCAAGGTGAGGTTAAAGTTTTGTTGAATATATTTTCTTTTGTCCAGGAGTTGGAGCTCCAGGCGCGCCTCAATGGCCTCTCCTCTTCCTCCTCCTCTGCCTCCACTCCACTAACCTCCTCATCCAGCTCCTTGGACCCTAACACTCATCTGTCTCCTCTGCTGCCTAATCCGTCCCTGAGCTTCATGGACCTGGAGGAGTCTCACGCTACGCCGACCGTCTTCTCCCCGGACCTGCTTCCCGGCGTGGGGCTGACAGAGCTGAGCAGCCTGGGGGGGTTCCTGATGGAGGAAGATGGAGGAGCAGCAGTGATGTCCGACCCGCTGCTGTCCTGTGGAGCCTCTAAGACCAGCAGCCGGAGGAGCAGCTTCAGCATGGACGAGGACCTTTGATGATGTCGCCACAAGCTGGTCTCTGATTGGCTTACAGGAGGGAGAGTCAAAAGCTTCAAAGAAATTGATTGAACAATTTTTAATCCCTGACGCGATCCCAAATTTTCAGCGTATTGATAACAATGTAACCATGGCAACCACACCACAAGTGCTGCAGTGGCGATCATGGCGGGTTATTTTTTTTTACTGTGTTCCCATGGTAACCGATTCTGCACAGTGTTCTGGATTCAACACCAACTCCTGAGCTCTGATTGGCTGATCTCAGTCTCAGGTGTGTCACCTCTCTGGGTGTAAAAAGCTGTAAATTTAAACATCTCTATAATCAGTAGGTGCTGGAAAACAAACTCTAAAGAGATTTTCTTTTTTTTTTTTTTCTGGATTTTGTCGATCGGCTTCAGATTTATGACGTTTTATTTGTTTTCATGTTTAAACTTCCTGCTGGAGACAAAAGTCCAAACAAACAGAAGGGAAAATAAAGGAGAGCAGCAGGTCCACCACTGTGCTACCACTGCCCCAGTGTTATATCAGCATCGTTTTAGCACTTAATACTCATAAAGATTTGTTTGCTGCCAAGAAGCTGGATTAAAATATCGGTTAGAAGATATTAAAGCTTCTGATATCAGACCGTCGGTTCTGCTGGATTACAGACTCTACAGAAACTGAGCAGAGTCCTCCGGTCCAATCAGACATGAAACAACAAGCAGGTTCAATCTTTTCTTTATTTAGCATCAGGTCAAAAAACCCCAAACCTCTAAAGTTGAAACGAGGCAGCGTTAAAAACAAGGAGATAGAAGAGC